CTATACCATTTGCCAATAGCTCCACATACTATGGAACAGCATCCTGTTTTGTAACTTTGCCTGGGTGTGGTTCTAAGTCCAGTTTTGGAAATATGTCCTAGAACAGTAAAGCATTCAGATTTGTTCCTGTTACACAGGAAAAACAGACAGGTATTTGGCTTCTCTGCTTCTCTGAATGGACCGTATGTGGAGAGATCTGTTTTCTAACTTTCCAGCACTTTACAAATGGGCTTCTCCATGCAGACAAAACCCCATTAGCCAAAGGATAAGATGTCAAAAGCTATGATGTGTGATAGGCCTCACTCCAAAATATTGAAAAACACAAAGGATACTTTGGAGCTGTGCTGTCTTGACATAAGGCATGAGTTCCCAACCTGGAGGTTGAGACCCCAAGGAGGTCTCAAAGTGTTTTTTGGAGGGGTCACTGCAGTTATTTTTAGTTGTAATTATTGTTATATTTATTACACTAAATATGGTACATACAATGTTGTTTTATTTCCCTTGGCCCATAGGTGGATAGGATTCTCTTGCCCCCCAGATACAAATTTAATCTGAACTGGAATGGCAGGCAACATAGAGTTCTTAGTTATTTCTGTTATCCTTTGGGGGCAGATTTTCCTTTTATGAATGCACATCACTCCTACACTCTCCAAAAGAGTCACTCGCTTCTCTCTGCTCCTCCACATCCACCTTTGGAGGGCTGATGTCAGCCATTCAGCCCCAAGTGTTAGCTTGGCTCAAAGAGACCTGGATAAGGTGAGCCCATGACATACGCCGGAAATGCTGATGACCAAGATGGCAGCGGGATTGAAAAGTTGTCACCATGGCAGCGGTCCCTTCCACTCCACTTGAGTCTCCCGTTGTTCTAGGTGTGGCCATGGCTGCGCAGGGGACCTGGGTGGGGAGATGCCTCCAGGCCCTGTCAGATTCATGGATGAGGAAGTGTGAGAGGGGTTGTGGGTTACTTGGCTATTATAAAAGGGCACCTTGGCTCGAAAAAGACTGGGAAACACTGACATAAAGCATACATTATGTAATATGGAAAGAAGAAGAAGAATGCATTTATATTCCAGGAGACTGTAATATTCTCAAACTAAGGGTACTACAGTACTTTTTCATGCATTATATTCCAGGAGACTGTAATATTCTCAAATTAAGGGTACTGTACTACAGTACTTTTTGAAACAAGCATGCATATGACCCTGTACATGAGTATATGACAGAGCCTGGTAATAATACTGTATGCAGCCTGTCTGGTTGCTGTGAATGAGTCAATCACTACTAGTTTGTTCTCTGATATGACTCTAAATGGGGAATGGGAGATTTAACAAAATAATTTGCCTACACTGATGGAGCTGGAGGAGAAAACTGGATGAAGCATTAAATGTGTAATTATTCTATATGAACTTATGTTACAAATGACATCGTTATTTGGAATAAGTTACTTATTTTAAAGTAAAAGGGTACAACCAAGCTATGTAACAAGTGGGAGCGGAGTAGTATTGGTGTTGTTCTAATGAATAATTTAGAGACATTATGTAAAGATTTCGCTCCCCCAAATTTTATCCAAGTTTAAGCCAGTCTCTCACCAATCTCAAAAATCCCCCACCTCATACAAAATGATAATTCAAAAGCAAGAATTAAATTCATAAACTACTTTAGAAATAAAATCCTTAAAAACTACATTTTTGGGAAATTTGTAATAAGTTATGAGAATGTTTTCCCCCACAATATAGCTTTCTAAACTCTGGTTTTATTTTCTTGGATGGTGAATTTTCCTGGGACAACACTGTGCGTGGGAGGAAGGAAGTAAACCCCTCCTTCCTGCAGCCCCACTCTTGACACCCAGCAGCGGATACTTAAAAGAAAAGAAACGAGGGACCTGAAATTCAACGACACACTTAACATATTGTACAGGTCGGCCCCAAGACAACCAGCTGGGAGAATACAAGAAATAAATGGGAATCTGGCAGTTTGCTGCAGGATGAAAGGAAAGCAGCAGCTTGCAGTACAGCAAGAGCAGGAACATATGCCCTCCAGATGTTCCTGGACTGCAATTCCCATCAGTCCAAGCCTGCAATGCTAATCATAAGAGAGGATGGAAGCTGCGGTGCTGAAAACATCTGGAGGGTGAGATTTCCCCCAGCCTTGCATTGCGGGATCTAACGTGAGAAGGACTTCTGTACAGCTCACCCATTGCTTCCTACAGAGGAAACATCAACCTCCTCCTTTAGAACCATTGACTTGTAATGGATATTGCAGATGTGGCTTGGCCAGCGTTCACTGAAGCATCATGGAAACTGTATGCCCAGCAGTGCCGACATCCAAGACAGACACGGGGCTTGTTTTCAAATAGTCAGGCAAAGGAGGAGACTTCCTGGAGGCACTAAGAAGTTTCTCATTAGAGCCTCTTCACTAAAGACCTAAGAGAGATCTTTTTCAACGCACTCTCACATTTCGTGGAAAGCCACAAGGAATCAGCCCAAGCAACGCCAGGTCTGCCACTTTTGCCAGGGGTGCAACTTCTTGCACCTCAAGATCCAACAATGAATTTCTGTTTCACATGCTATTGCTCGTGGCTGTGAAAAGATACAGCAGTGTAAAAAAAAACATTGTGAAGTTCCTTCTTTTCTTCTCAGATTTTTTTTTAACAGCAAGGGAAGAAAAGCACACAAAGCGGTGGAAACAGAACAGGAGTGTTACACATGGAAGGCAATGAGGACCCAGAGCTTTGAAATAGCAGGGTTTGTGGGGACACAGGGGACTCCGGGAGTTGTAGCCAAGACAAGTCACTTTTTCCACAAAATTTCCAATTTGAGGCAGGGCAATTGACACAATAATAATCTTACATGGAAGCACACTCTCTCAGCTGTGTAGAAGCACCCTATGCTAGACATCTCCTGTTGGAACACTCAGCACAATGATTCCAACCACACCTCAATCTGTCTTTTGTTACCAGCTTGACATGATTCTATTCTGAAAAACATTTGACAGCTACTGTTGATCTCCAGGTCATTGTTTTGAGGCTCCGGCAAGTCATTATTTTAAGTGTTTTGGCTGACAGCTCTCAGTTTCCATGGATTATGTTTTATGCCATACTGTCTTCTTCTTTGGTGGATTAAAATTTGTATTTAGCATTCTGCCTCGTTTTGACACTAAAATTAGAAAACTAACTCTTAAGTAATATAAACAGGAGGCTTCAACTTGAAATCTTGAACTAAAGGTAGGATTAACTTCAAGTTGCTTCCCCATCAACGTTCTAGCAGCATTAATTGCTACCATTCCCCCCCCCCAAGATGATATCCCAAATGGACATTAGTGAAAACCTACTATTTGTAGTCCATGCTCTTCAAGGTGAGATTTCTGTTCAGAAGCAATTAATTTAAGGCTGATAAACACACTAGCAGTTTCCTTACATGGCAAGCACACACAAGGCCTCAGGAGTGCCTTAGCTGCATTAGCCAAAGCAAAGGGCAAATCTACATAGATCATTTGCACCCCTGCCTTCAGAGATGCAAATGGGAGCGATTCAAAACCATGTGACCGTCACGCGGTTTTGAATCGCTGTATCCATTCCCACTAGTAGGATTGACCATCAGCTGTTTGGTGCTGCCTGGGAAGCCATGAGAGGCAATGAAATTTGAACCCTCATCTGGGAAGGGGACCTCTCTGCAATCCCAGCTGGGGGACTTCGCTCTGCAGCTTCTCACGGCTTCCCAGGCTGTGCCAAACAGCTGATGGTTGGGCCCTGCAGCTGCTTGAGGCCAGTTGGAAGAAGCTGCAGCAGGGAATCCCGCAGCTGGAAAGAGGCCCCTTCCACCAACGCTACCACCAGCTGAAACTTGGTTAGTCACAGGCAGTAGGCAATGAGGCAATGGGGGAGGCAGTGAGAACCGAAGGGGAAGAGGTTGAGTGGGAAAGATAATGGGGTGGAAAGGGAAAGAGGAGGCCTGGGGTGAAGGTGAGAGGGCACGGGGACAGGGAGACTGAGGGGTGGGTGAGACAGCAATCAGGCAAGCAGTGGGAGATTGGTGCTTTTATATTATTAATTTAAATTGCTGCTATTTGATGTAGAGCTATATCAGATAGCAGGATTTTTTTTAAAGCAGCAGGGGCGTTAATATATGTGAAATTGATTTCAAAGAATCGATGCCACATCCACCACAAAATAAACAGACCTCTGGCAGAAGGAGCAGAAAAAACTCGCTCCCCTGGCACAGTAGTCCATGCGTGCACATGCCTCTGTGTGTACACAAAAATTTTGTGTGGTTGTGTTTTTTTTAAGGAGAACCCTTAAAAAACATCAGCAGATACCTCAGTGGGAATTTTTGTCAATAGGATCAAGCTCTAAGAGAGTTTCTGAAGGTGAATGCTGAAAAACAACACAATCCTCTGAAATTCCCATTATGCTCTTGCTTTATACGCTTTTCTCTAATATCTAATATCGTTTGCCTTAAGCACAACAGTTACCAGTACGTTTGAACTGAAAATAGATAATGCTCTGTCAAACAGAATGGACAAAGCCAAGATAAGATGGAGGATTTCTGTCTCACCGGCACCCTGTAGATCTCTACTGTGGATACCTTCACTCATGAAAAAACTACCTTGGAAGTACCCAGCAAGAGCAGTCAGAGATACCCTACTGCAATAGACAAAAACACAAATGGGGCTCCTTTGGCTACAGATAAGAATAAGGTGTCAAGAAAGTCAAGGTGGACTGCAACAAACCAAGGTAGGCAAATACTCTTCCTTCATCTTCTGCATCTTGCCACATACAGCACGTAGAAGGACTCACACTGTTGCTACTGCCATCAGTTCCTTGAATTTGAGAATCTTTTCAGGCCAAATGGTTTCTCACTTCACTCCTCTCCTCTAAAACCCAAAACATCTATATCTTATGAAGACTACGAGAAACAGATCTAGCTAGGTGTTTAGGGTTGTTTGGGAGAGCACAGAACAGGCAAGACTGACAAGGTGAACAGTTCTAGCAAACTACCTACTAGATGGCCACAGGTTCCCTATTTTGTAGCCTACACGGCATTTAGGAACAGAGAAAACAGTCTGATTCTGGTCCAGGTGTCTTGCACATATTCATTCAAATGCAGATTCTGGCATCAACCTGTAATTTTTAAAAATTTAAACACCGCTCAAAATGTGTATTTAAATAGTTAAATATAGACTTTTATCCTTAAAAATGTGCACTGCAGCCTGAAATACATATCTTGTAGGCATCTGATCTTAAAATGCACGTGTTTACAAATATTTGGTGGTTTTTATTTTACTTTGTTTTGGTTTTTGGTATTTTAAAATGAGAAGGGTATTGGGCAAACTCTGCATTGTGGGGAAACATATAATGCTATGGATACCCATGGACCAATCTGTATTTAATCCAGAAAGTGTGAATCTGGTTTATTTGCTTAGAAATGAGTGCTGAACAAAATTCTGAAGCATCCCCAAATGCTAGTTAGTGGGAAAGTCCCAAAACACTGAAACCAATGAGCTCTATGCTTTTCTATGGAACTAGGAGAGTGTGGTGTAGTGGATAGAGTGATGAAGTCAGCTGGCCTGGATTGGAATCTCTGCTCAACCATAGAACTTCACTGGGGATGTGGAACTGGTAAAAATGCTACTTAAATGTCACATTTACTTTGAAAGCCCTGTTAGGATTGCTGTAAGTCAGTTCCAACTTGATGGCACATAACAACAAAGGTTATTCCAGCATGATTTTTTGTAAGAGTCCCTTTTAATGAATTTAGCAAAAGCAAGGTCAGGGTTAATTTAAGAACACGGAGTAGGGAATAGTTTTTTGGAAACATACACCCTCCTTCCTTTTAATGTAAAAAGACGCTAGTTCTGATTCACTAGTTTTTGAATGCATCCCAAGATCCAACACACCAAAAGAGTTTAGCAAGATAAGAGAATTCCGCATTCATCTTAGGGCTCAAACCTAATTATGTACACATAGATTCACAGATGAATGGAGCTTTAGCTTGCCGGTAATGCTATTTACATACAAATGGAATACAAAACATTAGAAACAAAACATACCTAGAAATCCTTATTGGCTTGCTGCCTAAAAGAAAATTTAATACAATAAGTAATTTCCTACCTGGAAATGTATTTCTTCTGAACCAGTTCAATAATCTGCAACAGCAATCTGCAACAAGACAATTGAGTAGTCAGGAATGGCCTTATGGACAATTGTCAGTGATCAAACAACTTTTCCTTTACCTTCACCGGTTGTGCTCTGTCAGTGAGAACAGACAGCAATGTACAACGGAGATTTGCCTCTGCAATGGGTTCTTGAAAACATTTAGAAGGTCTGAAGCGAGGGCTCTGAACCTACAGAATACCTACATGTAATTGTAGTTCTTCGAATGGACCTCTGTGATTCACACTCTGGGTGATCTGCACATGCATGGAGCCTCATCAGAATATTCTACAGCTTCTGCGGTAGCGAAATGATATATTAGTGCAGACCCCTCCCCTCTAGTAGACATGTACCTTGGCGCTAAGGCTCTCCCTTCAGTTTGGTCAACCGCCACATAAAGAAAGGTTGTGACAGTGTGTAGGCCAGGACAGGAAGTGTGAATCACAGAGGTCCACTCGAAGAACTACAATTACAGGTAGGTAACCTGTCGTTCTCCTTTGTAGCCTGTGAATCACACTCTGCGTGACTAACAAGCTACCTTACCCGGAGGAGGGTGTCACGCCAAGCTAGATGATAATACAGCAGTTTCAGATTTTTGCAGAATGTCCAATCCATAGTGATGTACAGTGGTGCCCCGCTTGACGACGATAATCCGTTCCAGGAAAATCGCTGTTAAGCGAAATCGTCATCAAGCGGAAAAAAACCCACTGCAATGCATTGAAAACCAGTTAATGCGTTCCAATGGGGAAATACCTCATCGTCCAGCGAAGATCGCCCATAGAGAACCACCGATCAGCTGTTTCAAATCACTGTCTTCCGAAGCAGGGGTCCGGAAAACAGCCATTTTGCAAAGGGAGGGAAGCCATTTTGCAAAGGGAAGCCATTTTGCAGAGCTGGAAAAAACATCATTTTGCGAACAAACGGTTCGCGAAGCAGGCACCTATCAATGTAAAGCGGATTTCCCCCATAGGAACCATTGTTTTGTGATTGCAATAGCGATCGCAAAAAACTCATTGGTACGCAATTTTGACGTCATGTGGGGTAAGCATCTAGCGGGGCACCACTGTATGGTTGTGATCATGTGACAGAGGTGCAGATGTCAGCGAGGTGGATTCCTCAAAGAAACGCCACAGATGTCACCAACGGCCTGGTGGAGTGAGGGCAGATATTCTGTGTCACTGGAACTCGAGCAAGATGATAAGCAAGCTGGATGGCAAGACGCAACCCACTTGGATATTCGCTGCAAGGTAACTTGGAAACCTTTAGCAGGAAGTTGGAAGCTGACAAAAAGTCTAGCTGAGCATCTGAAAGATTGGGTGCAGGCTATACAGAAGGCCAGAGCCCGTCTTACATCCAATGTATGGAGAATCCTTTCTTGAGGATTAGATGGAGAAGGAAAAAAGGACAGAAGAACCAAGGGCTGGGATAGGTGAAACTGGGAGACAACCTTGGGCAGGAAAAAGTATCTACAAGGAGTCTGACATTATCCGGGTAAAACTAGAGATAAGGGTAGTCGGACTTTAAGGCTGTCAGTTCACCAGCACGCCAAGCTGACATGATAGCTACAAGGAACACTGTCTTAAAGGTAAGTAATCTGAGATCAGTTGACGTAAGGGGCTCAAACAGGACCCTTGTAAGGTGTCAAAGGACTAATGTCATGGAGGATGTATGTCAGGATACATGTGTGACAGTCCGTTGAGGAAATGTTTCAGAGTAGGGTGTCTGAAAAACTTAGCTGCCGGAGAGGTTAGTTGATAAGTCACAAATCTCCGAAAGGTAGACTTTGAGGGACGAAAAAGAAAGGCCCACAGTTTTTAGTTGCAGTAGAAAACAAAGGACAGTGGTAAGAGAAGGGTTGGTTGAAGGTAGTGATGACGCTGCAGTGAATGACTGGAATGTTTTCCATTTATACTTATTCCTAGCTGAGGGCTTCTCTGCATGAGGAAAGACATTCATCAGGGAGGCAGAATCCTCCATGCTGCAAGATGAAGGGCAGGGAGATCTGGGTGGAGAATTTGATTTTTGTCTTATGTAAGCAAGTGAGGCAGGCGGGGTAAGTGATAAACGTCAGACAACAGCCAGTGGAGAATCGGAAACCATGGCTGTGACGGCCACCACGGAGCTATCAGGGTAGCATTGGGCTCGTCCTGTTTAAGGCGGACTACAACCTTGTGGAAGAGTAGGAACGGTGGAAAGAGGTAAGTGAGTGATCTGGACCAACGGACAACAAATGTGTCACTGCGGGAGTTCTTGCCAACTCCTGCGTAGTAGCAGTAATGTTTGCACTTCTGGTTTGTTCGGGAAGTAAAGAGGTCAATGGTGGGTGTGCCCCAGCGTGTGCACAGGGAGAGAAAGACAGTCTGATCTGGTTCCCACTCATGGACTTGAGATCCTTTGCAACTGAGCAAATCTACCCGATTGCTGTCATGACCAGCTACATGTATTGCCCTGAGACTAAATGTGATGAGAGAGGCATCATTCCCACAGGTCGACAGCAAGATAAAGGAGACTTGGGGAGTGAGTACCCCCTTGTTTGAGAATATAGTACATTGTGGGAATGTTGTTTGTGGCTATTTGGACCATATTGCCAATGAATGGTTTGTGAAAGCCTTGCAGGCTTTTATTACTGCTAAGAGTTCTAGCTCGTTAATATGGAGCATTCTTTCTCTTTGCGACCACTGGGCATGGATTTGTAGGGATCAGCAGTGGGCACCCCAGCTGGTGAGGCTGGCATCTGTGGTAATTTGGATTTGTGGATGGGGTTGTTGAAAAGTTCGTCCCATCATAAGTTTTGAGTGGAGTGCCACCATGAAAGCTGGGAAGCGAGTTCCGGAGTGACCCGCAGTAGAGTATGCAGTGGATCTGGCAGCAGGTTGAATAAGGCCAGAAACCATGCTTGAAATGATTTCATTTTGAGACAGCCATGCTGGACCACAACAGTAGAGGCCATAGTGCCTAAGACACATTGGACTGTTAACTCAGATACAAGTGCATGAGGAGTGAAGGCATGGAGTAAAGAAGTTAAATTGAGACATTTCTCTGTTGGGAGAAACACTCAAGTATGTTTGGAGTCTGTAACTGCGACTATATAATGGATCAGTCTTGTAGGTGTTAACTTGGATTTTTGCAGATTTATCGCAAGGCCAAGATCTTAGAGGAGAGATAAACTGAAGTGAATGTCTCACTGTGCTTTGCAATGGGAATGAGCTACAAGAAGCCAGTCATCGATGTACGGAAAGATGTGAATCTTGTGAAGCCTGAGGTATGCTGCCACTGGGACCATGCATTTGGGGAATACCTGGGGGGCCATCACAAGTCCAAATGGAAGCCTTTTGGATTGGTAGGCCTGGGTTCTGAGTTGGAAGCGAAGGTAAGTCCTGTGAGATGGATGGAGAAATGGAAGTAGGCGTCTCTGAGGTCTATAACTGTGAACCAGTCTTTTTTTTCAGAGTAGCGGGAGGCCGGACTCAAGAATAACCATACGGAATTTGATAGTGGTATATCAGTTTAGTTCTCTGAGATCGAGGATAAGGCGGAGGCCACCATCTTTTTTGGGAACAGTGAAATAACGAGAGAAAAAACCTTTGACTGTATGGTGTTGTGGTATTGTTTCTACAGCGTCTTTGAGTAACAACAACTGTGTATCGTCCTGTAGGGTTTGCGACGGAGGTGTGACGATTTGTGATGGTGGAGGAAGCAGGTGGAATTCTATGTGGTACCTGTGTTGTATGATGGAGAGGACCCAGGCATCTGTGGTGATGTCATTCCACGCAGGCAAGTGCCTCCATAGGGCAGGGGGAAGTGTGAGAGGTTGTGTTGGGATCTCGGCCAAAGAAAGCTTTGGTATGCGTCCATAGCTCCTTGATAGTTAGAGACCCTCATAGTAAAAGCAGAAGAAGAATACAGTATAGCAATCTGCCCATAGAGTCAATGTGCCTGCTATCTTTATTAGGTAGTATTAGATCCTGTCAATGTCAAGAACAAGATTGTGAAGCTTCGACGAAGATGGAATTAGAAGCCAACTGTTTTTGCAAAAAGACAGCATCAGGGCCATGCACTCGATAGAGGTTGTTGATGCATTTCAACACTGTGTGTGATGGGGCTCGTTTGGTCCAGGGACACCTAGCTGTGCTAAGGAGAGATGGAAGCATGGAGATATGGACCAGTGTGGCAGTGTCCTTAGAGATGGAATCATACATCTGCTGGCTCAGTAGTAGGTCTGTGGATTTGTAGGTCGGTGGATTTAGACATACGAACCATTAACTGAGCATAGGTTTGAAAGTCTTCTGCCGGTGATGGAGGATCCATGTCTGCTAGGTCAGAGTACGGTAATGTTAAGAGTACCAATGTTATTTGAGGTCTGGAACTGTGATCAGATGGTTCAGCGTTGTGCCATGAGTAGACCGACTGTCAGTCGACATCGACATCAAAAGGTTGGTCTTCAAAGTATTGCTGTCAACATCAAGCTGTTAACGTTGAAGGAGCATCAATGGACAGTGGTCGATATCAAGGGTTGTCGACATCGATGGAATCGGTATGGAGCTGGTGTCAATTGCTAAGGAGAGATGGAAGCATGGAGATATGGACCAGTGTGGCAGTGTCCTTAGAGATGGAATCATACATCTGCTGGCTCAGTAGTAGGTCTGTGGATTTGTAGGTCGGTGGATTTAGACATACGAACCATTAACTGAGCATAGGTTTGAAAGTCTTCTGCCGGTGATGGAGGATCCATGTCTGCTAGGTCAGAGTACGGTAATGTTAAGAGTACCAATGTTATTTGAGGTCTGGAACTGTGATCAGATGGTTCAGCGTTGTGCCATGAGTAGACCGACTGTCAGTCGACATCGACATCAAAAGGTTGGTCTTCAAAGTATTGCTGTCAACATCAAGCTGTTAACGTTGAAGGAGCATCAATGGATAGTGGTTGATATCAAGGGTCGTCGACATTGATGGAAGCGGTATGGAGCTGGTGTCAATATGGAAGTTGCTGTCGGTGCTGAGACAGTTGCCAAGGTGGCAAGGGCATGGATGGACCACATTGGATGACAGTGGAATAGACAGACAGACACCTGTGTTCAGAATGAGATGGACGTTGTTTTGCCACCTCGGAAACGGCTTTATCCATGGCTTTAGTGTGGGGTAGGGATTTAAAGGACAGTTGGACCATGGGCTTAACAGGCTGGAGAGATTGCTCCCAAAGACGAAGTTTGAGCCTAGGAAGGCGACTGCAGAGAACTCCGCACTTGAAGTTTTTGCAGTAAGGGCAGGAAGAAGTTTGATGAACCTGGCCAAGGCAAAACGGCTTTATCCATGGCTTTAGTGTGGGGTAGGGATTTAAAGGACAGTTGGACCATGGGCTTAACAGGCTGGAGAGATTGCTCCCAAAGACGAAGTTTGAGCCTAGGAAGGCGACTGCAGAGAACTCCGCACTTGAAGTTTTTGCAGTGAGGGCAGGAAGAAGTTTGATGAACCTGACCAAGGCAAAAAGGCACTTAGCATAGCCATCAGAAAGTGGGATTTTGTTGTTGCAAACCACACAGCATTTAAACCGGCCTGAAAAGGCCATGAACTAAAACCCAGGAGAAGGGGGGGGGGCTTTGGCCCTAAAGCTGGAGCATAACTTGATTTGGAAGAAATAAATAATAAGGATTGGTAACGAAAGATATTTTGAAATAATAAGAAAAGGTAAGTAACTTCCTTTCTTTCACTTTCAGAAAAAACTCACAGAAGCAACGTTGAGTCTCTCAACGCAGCAATTTCAAAAGAAACTGGAGAGCCTTTTCACCAAGGTACATATACTAGGGGGGAGGGGTCTGCACTAATGTATCTTTTTGCTACTGCAGAAGCTCTAGAATATTCCAATGAGGCTCCGTATATGGGCAAATCACCCAGAGTGTGATTCACAACCTAAAGAACAAGAAGTGCTGATATTTTTCTGAGACAGATTGGCTGAAATCCTGTTGTGCAACTTCATGGGCATCGAGGCTGATGATGCCATCAGCCACTTATGTTTATGTTTAATTTAGCTTCTGCCTTAAGTTTGGGAAGAACTTGTTGTGATTTTCAGATATTAAATGCTCTTCCCCCCCATCCCCCAAGCTCCAAAAGGTTTCTACAGGGATCCCTAAGGACCTTAAAAACTTGTGAGGATAGGTATTAAATTAAAGATTAATGTTTGTAGCTGGTGACATCATCAGTCTTACGACCATGCAGCTCCACCAACAGGATTCAATCCAAAGTTCCAAGCAAAACAAAACATACAGTATCCAGCAAAGCTTGGAAAAACTGAATTTTTGAAAGGTAACTCCCAGAATCAACCAGCTAACAAAAGCCATGCTGGCTTGAGGATTCTGGGAGTTCTATACTCCAAAAAGCAACTTTTATAAACTAAGAGACATATAAATTGGTGTGTGTGTGTGTGGTGGGGGAAGAACTTAAAAAGTAGGACTTATGAACACAACTATGGACGAGTGGAGTTTTTTTTTTTTTTTAAACTTCTCTTAAATTAGAAGTGGGTGTGATAGACAATTACAAAATGCCACTCCCAAAATGTTTCCCACTGCCATGCCAACTAGTTTAGTCTCAAATACAAAGATATTCCATGTGTCCTCTGATTCACTGCTCAGACGTTACCCAACCTCCCCTTGGGATCTTAGATTGAGTCAACAGTCAAAGAACACTAGACTGTACTTAGGATGCTTCCGTATATAACCGGTGATATAATGGCATGCATAAAGTATATATACATTGGAGGAAGTCAAGATTTGAAGGTAGGGGTGGAGGGCAGAGAAGAGGTTTTTCTCCACCAACAAACTGACCAAATTACTAAAAAATCAGGACAGTTGGGAAACATAAACGCTCTAGTACAATACTTTCTCTTTTGGAATGAGTGAAATGCTTTTTCAGACAAAGCCTTATTCACTCAAAATGCCAGGAACTGCAGAGTTTCAACATCTATATGTAAGGCACACTATGGAATTAAAGAATAACAATTCCTGTGCATATGGTAAAATTATAACAATCAAAATAAAGATGCATTTCTGCATCTAGTGGGCACTGCATACAGGGTGGTATTTATTGCTTCGGATAAACTTTATCCTGGTGTGAAGAAGACAGTCTCAGTATGAGCAAAACTATCCAAATAATAAATTTATTTTGTTTGTCAGAAAATGCTTTGGTCTGTGTTTTCGTATTTTTCCTACTCCTCACATGGCAAAAAATGGGGCACGTGTATAGACAACGTAGGATGTACAGCTCTTGCTTTAGTACAGGACTGGTTCACAATTTTTCTTGCCCCAAATTACGGCTTTCTAATAGTAAAATTTGATAAGCTAACTAGGAATGCAGTATTTTATGTTGCCAAATCAGTAAAACAGGTTTAGATCTGAAGCAAAATCAAGCATTGAACTTATTTAATTTCCTCCCCAAAATTTCAATTTTCTTCTGTAGAAAAAAATGGGGCGGTGGGGAATCATACACAGTCTCTCCCCTCATACACACGGCTTTAAAATACCCGGAAATTTTACATTTTAGAAAATTCTACCTTACTTTTCAAACCCCTTTTCCAAGCCCCTTGACAATTTTGAAACAGAAACACATAACAAAAAATAAAAATAATTCAAATCCTTAAAGGAATAAACTTAATTGTATTCAGTGAGGCTTACACTTGAGACAACATGCATAGGATATGCCATATACACAGAAAATAACAGAACAAGAGGGGCATAAAATAACTAGATTAGTTTTAAAACACACTGCCACCGCAAGAAATTAGAACAGATTAACAGTACAATCCTACTCAGACATCCAAACATGCAAGGCATCCAGCCAAACCACAGGACTTCCAGTTGCCAACATAATTAGCTATTTACACACACTCTGCGTGCGTGCGTGTGCGTGTGTGTGTGTGTGTGTGTGTGTGCGCGTGCGCGCGCGCGCATTTTAATCATCTCATGATTCTACTTTTGTCAGGTTACTATCAAGTCACCAGCATTTTCTACAGCAGTGTTATCCGAAGTGTGGTAAATTAAGCGCTTCTTAATCCACAGACTATGACGCTGATAATAAGGAGGTCAGCTTCCCTGCACAATCCCCTTCGCAACACACTTCTCAGAAGTCATTCCAAATGAGGAAGAGCAAAACGTCCATATGATTTACTGCCCCAACCTCATCCTGCCTGTCTTCATTCACAAGGAAAGTGATAGCAGAACCACTGAAAAAAAGGAAGAAGTCAACATTTCTGAAGTCACGACACACTTTGAAAACTATGACAATCTCCAGCAGGGTGGGTAAAAAAACAGCATTTAAAAAAGATTAAATGGCTAATAGAAAGCACACTGAATATAAGCACAGTAGCTCAACCCTAAATCTATAAATTGAATTAGCACCTTTTACCAGTTGCATTCAGTAAAGAAACAGTTTCTATATAAATTAAGAATCAATGTGATCATTTCTCAAAAATATGTATTTACAACCTAGCTGGCAAACATAGGCATGTTAGCATTTAAAAAAGATTAAATGGCTAATAGAAAGCACACTGAATATAAGCACAGTAGCTCAACCCTAAATCTATAAATTGAATTAGCACCTTTTACCAGTTGCATTCAGTAAAGAAACAGTTTCTATATAAATTAAGAATCAATGTGATCATTTCTCAAAAATATGTATTTACAACCTAGCTGGCAAACATAGGCATGTTTTTACCA